TTTCCTGTGCGTTCATTCTGATGCATGCCCCGCCCTCCGCAGGCGGTGCTTCGATGGGCTCAGGTGTGCTCTATTGACCTCGCTCTGTGCCCCCCTAGCCTTGAGTTGATGCGATCCCACCAGGTGCTTCTTTGAACAATACCAATTTTTATGATCAGCGACAGACGGACGAGCTCTTGTTACCCATCTAACCCATCTTTCGACACAACAACGTCTCATGGATTGTACTGCGACCCTATTATATCTGTGTGACAGTGGGGTTTACGATAGAAATGAAAGGCGCTCAATTGTTACTAATTTTAGAATCAAAATCAAGCTTCGCTCTCGCACGCTACGAGTACGCCGTGTAGCGATAGAATCGCACATCCCTCCGCCTCATGTGACCTTGTAAGGGCCTCAGAAACACATCGATGAAAAAGCTCGAGGACCACTTTCACCGCGGGTGGTGAATTTCAGAAAATTTTTCCAAATTGTATTGCTTATCAACGAGACTCCCCATCCTTACAGTTGAGTACTCACTCGGTTTGGTTATTGAGCTTTGACGTTAGCAACATGAGACCACTAAAATTCCAGTCGGAAGTACTCTGAAGTTTTCAAAAGTCACCCTTCTTGTCTTCCTCCGTTTTCAGATGAACGTTCGGCACCGATTCACGTCTGGGTGAGAAACGAGTCGTTAGCAGAGTGCGAAATTGCTGCGTATAGCCAGACACACGCAGAATATCCGATGACACCTGAAATGAGAATGGCTTTGAAGGAAAACCTTTCAGAAATATACCTATACTCTCCTATTTCATACAAAAGCATCATAACTACTCTTCAGTGGTGGCATCTCCCTATCGAGTATATTTTCTGGCAAGGTTCGAAAAAAGAAATAAGAAAACATGAAGGTTCTATGCTCTAGCCTAGCCTCGATTAGATGTCTTTCCATCAATTCTTTCCTTCTGTACTGAGTCTGCGTTAAGCCTCGTCCCACAGCATTTTAGTGCATCTACAACCGTCCTTATCTTCGATAAAGCTCCCATATGAAATTGATGAACTCTCTGAAGGAGCTGACCACCTTTCAATAGACGAGGAAGAAATGACCAAACTGGGTCTACCCATAAACATAGTGAAATTTCAAGGTGGTGGGTAGCTTCAATGTGCGTCAAGGGTAGCGATCCAGCACGATTTCGAGACCTTAGCAAATGATGCAAGAGCCTGTGCTTATCTATACTGAGCCCCCCAATAAAGGGGTTTAAGCTCAGCTACCAAGATCCTATCTCAACGAGTGAGCGGCACTTCGCCCAGAACTCCCACGGGAGGTGGCTGCGGTTCCGCGGCGGCTACCGTATCTTTGTATTGGGTATTCAAACTTTTCTCCTCATATCGCGCGACTGCGCGCGATCGGATGCGGCTAGTGCGAAGCGCTTTTCAGGGAGAAATACCCACCTAGTATTTGAGTATTTATTCAAGTACTTTAACAGCGAAGGAGCTAAACTCAGGTATACCTACTGTTATTTAGATTGATGTTACCATTATAATCATAATGATCTATCTAAAATTACTGCAATGATGATTGTAACAGTGAGAATCAATTAAAATCATTCTACCTGGACTTATCAAAGAAGTTAGTTTCAGCCTTAAGCTGAGAAGGTCTAGAAGAAATCGAACTTCCTAACGAGGACTGAGCAATTTTTCTGCGTTACCAATATATAGATGGACAAAAGCGGTATATATCGACCGGAGAAGTAATTCAATAACTAAGAATAAAGACAGTAGTACTTTATAAAAAGTGGTAGTACAGTAGTAGTAGTAGTAAAGTACTTAATAAATTGCTAGTCGACAGAAAAAAGGGTTCGAAGAAGGAAAGGGCGTCAGTTAAGACGCTAATTGCCTTGCTCTTAGGCTTTTTAACTTGTGAGCGACTCACTAGGTCCATGGGCTATCAATATATCAATATCAGCCCACTGAGTAGAAATAAAACTTCCAACATCTAACGGGCTTCTTGGGACCGAAAATAGAGGAGTGACCCACATGAAGGTTTATTTTGACTGCTCGCTACATGCTTTACTTATAATGCATTATGTAGTTGACTATTATGTAAATTACTTCTTGTTTTTTGAGGTTGTCATTTCGAGCCCATCTCCCATATCATCATATCGAAGTGGGGGTGGCAAGGGCGACGAAAAGTGAAGTCTAATTTTTGTCAGAGTAAATTAGGAGGACTAGCGTCAAAAGGTATGTTCACTACGGGCGCCAGCCCTTATATAGTAGTCTCGACCTCGGGCCGAGGACTGTTTTCTACTCGCCTGCTAACTGTCACTGACATTTCCGTTGGTAAAAAAATGAATCGGATGATATCTCTAGCCAAAAACAAGCCTTCATGGTATCAACTCGAACAAAGATCCGCTCGCCTCTGGCACCATACGTATGGGTCTGGTCTTTTTGAAATCTTTCAGATGACCAGCTCAGGAACGAGCGGGTCCAAGAAGCTACGTTCACAAGACCTTAAATAAATCTGCTTGTGAAGACATCACTTAGCCAACCAGTTATTATGAGACATAGCATCTCATAAAAAAATTAATATCGAGTGAAGCTGCTTGCTGCTATCTAAGATTATGTTTTCAATGATTTTGGATGGTCCTTTCCAATCATTGACATTTCATGCTCCGGTTTGGTACAGTATTCGCTCCTCCCATTGCTTAGCACCACTACATGAAAACATGTACATGGGTGCCCTAAAAATCCATAGATAAGAGCGGTTGAAACTACCGGTGAAAAATGAATTGGAATGAAATTGAA